CATAACGTGATCGCTCAATCTGATTAACTTCCTGGCGCAACCCGGCTATTCCATCAATCTGCCTTCTTTTCTAATTCCAGAACCATCTTTGCTTCCCATCATTGGCAGTCAAAGCGGACATCGGTCGTTTGCCTTGACCTACCATAACTCCCAATTCGTGTACCGGAAATTGCGGAAGAATCCATACAAAGGAATACGGGTGTGCTGGTCGTGCTTTGAACCATGTCCGGTCCCTACCGGACTTACAGTTTTGGCGAGGGCGACGACGGTTTAGCACATCCATCTTCCAGAACTCATGCCATGCACTCGCAGTACGACGCTGGTTCCCCGATCTCCGACGGAGCCCGCATGAATCCGATGAATGGTCAGGGAATGGACCACGGACTTGCCTCAATGCCGGAGGACGGCCATCGGGGATGGGGTCGGGGTCCAGAACCGTCACCCTCGATACTTACGGGTTCATCAGCGACCCCGGGGATGGATAATCTGGGGCCAGAGTCCGTTGGAGGCGGCATTAGCGGTATTGCTCTCAGCGTTGCCAATAGCCACGATCGTTTGAGTGGAGTGGAGGCCCTCATGGGCACAGACGGCCAGGAGGCTAATATTCCTGCAGAGCGAGGGTTCAGCACCACGGGCTCCGATAACCCATACATCCCTGCGCCGCCGGAGCATCGATATTCGTACGGTTCCAATGTCGCTTTGGGGGCAGCCGCTGCCCCGGCTGGACAGTTGACCCCAGGTCAATCCGTTTCGCATCTCAGCTCGTCGAATCCATCACAACGCAACCTCTATGATATCCCGTATCAAGGTGTAGGGGGTCTGAACGCCGGTCCCTACCAACGGCACTCGGCTTATAGCTCGAATGATCTGCCTGTTGATATCAATCCAGATGAGATCGTCGATGATGGTGATGACGGTTTTGTGCCGGCGCCGAACTCAAGATCTGGTGCTCGCAAGTCTCAGGCAGTTCCTGCGGCGGCTGGAGGTGCAGCAGCAGGTGGTGTTTTGGGGAATCTGGGAGGCCTTTTCGGGGGCAAGAGTGCTGCCGAGACATCGTACGGACCGGTTCCGGGAGCTGGTCTCGAGGCCGGAGAGAAGGGTCGCTGGGTCAAGCCGAAGCCAGGAGGGGGTAGCAGGAAGCGCGGATGGATTGTGGGGGCAATCCTGGCTTTCATCATTATCGGGGCCATCGTAGGAGGTGCGGTCGGTGGTACAATAGGCCACAAAGACAATGTGGAGTCATCCTCGGCTTCCTCCTCTTCCACACAAACGGCCACCGGCGACACAAGCACCAACGGGGACCTGGATAAGAACTCCGCCGAGATCAAGGCCCTGATGAACAACAAAAATTTGCACAAAGTCTTCCCCGGTATTGATTACACCCCGTGGGGTGTTCAATACCCTCTGTGTCTTAAGTATCCTCCATCTCAGAACAATGTGACCCGGGATATGGCCGTGCTCACGCAACTAACAAACAACGTGCGACTCTACGGTACGGACTGCAACCAGACGGAGATGGTCCTTCACGCGATCGACAAGCTCGAGTTGAAAGACATGAAAATCTGGCTCGGTGTGTGGATCGACAGTAACGAAACGACGACAAGACGGCAGATAGATCAATTGTATAAGATCATCGATGACGCCAAGGATACTTCTATCTTCAACGGGGCCATTGTTGGTAATGAAGCCCTCTTTCGAGCAGGAAGTGACAAGGTTTCCGCGCAAACCACCCTCATCAACTACTTGCAGGAAGTGAAAGACTACCTCAAAAAGAAGAACCTTGATTTACCAGTCGCAACGTCAGATTTGGGTGACAACTGGGACGCAACCTTGGTTCAAGCGGCAGATATTGTCATGTCCAACGTGCACCCGTTCTTCGGAGGCATTCCGGTCGATCAAGCTGCGGCTTGGACCTGGCAATTCTGGCAGGATCACGATGTCGCCTTGACCAAGGGCACCAACAAAAAGCAGGTCATCTCTGAAGTTGGCTGGCCCAGCGGCGGAGGAAATGATTGCGGGAGTGGTGCTAACTGCCCGACCGACACCGCGGGTGCAGTGGCTGGCATCGACGAGATGAACAAATTCATGGAGGACTGGGTCTGTCAAGCCCTGGAAAATGGCACGGATTACTTCTGGTAAGACCCTACAACCGCCCTAAGCAGTCAACTGGTCTCGAGCACAGCGGCTAACAAATTCGACAGGTTCGAGGCGTTCGACGAGCCATGGAAGATCCAGTACAATACTGCGAACGAGAATTGGGAAGACAAATGGGGTCTTATGGACGCGGCTCGTAACCTCAAGCCTGGCCTCAAGATTCCCGACTGTGGCGGCAAAACGGCCGCTCGATGACTGATGTCCCATTTTCGATTTGACGCTCGATACAATAGCTTTTGGCACCCTTTTCCATCCACCTATCTTTGCACGTGAAGCCTCCCCCAGTCCATTTCCTTCTATTGTTATACATGCTTGACGACGCATATCCTGACGACCTTCACAAGTCTTTGGTTTTTGGCGTTGGTGCTACATTTTCTTCTCTCCTTGATTGTGTACGTTACCACCTGTTGAATATTCTCTTCCTCGGTCGGGGCCAGAGCTCCAATCTCTGGTTGCCAGTGATTTCGCATGGCTTTGTTGGAAACTTGTCTCATATTGCACATGGACACTCCTTGCTAAGATACACTTGTTGATAATTGAGGGCATGTCTGTATATACCTTAGCAGGCTCTCGCTGGGGTTTAGTTTGACGACCATTGAACCTGTGGAATGTTGAGTGTTTTGGGATTGTAAAGGTATCAATCACCATTGTGACAGTGGTAGTAGCCTTCTACTTTGCATACTTTTATATAATCATGAATCATCAGTACTGTCTCTATGGATACAAAGGGGTATATACTAGTCTATCTATCCGAGTCCCGCGCGCAGAACCAACCATACTCGTTTCAATCCCAGTCCTTCTTCAAAAGGTACAATCGCATATTCCAAAACGCATGCTCATTGCTTCCAAACGTAGGAACTCGCACAGACTCCCTGGTGCCGAGATACCAACCCACAACCTCGGATTCCATCCCCTCCAGGGGACCCCCGAAGAGCAACGGCGGACCAGAAGAAAGCAATTGCTCAAGATGCGTCCGCTCCGCACCGGGACAGTACAGAAATGACCGATCGGAGACCTTCCCAAACCCCTCGGGGTGATCGAGAACAATGATCCCGAGCAAATTGAGGAGCGACCGGTCGAGCTGGTTGAAGACAGGATCTTGGGCGTAGGTGGTGATCGAGGGACAATATTTCACTAATCAATGAAGACGTGCACTCGTCAGTCAAATGATCTTTCCATACGAGTCGCATGAATATACTGATCGCAACAATCGACTTACTGATCAACTCCGTTAGGCACACCAACGCAGCGAGCTGATACAGCGACACACTCCGGCGATCTACCCACCCCCCTCGCAGGAACCCGCTCGGACTTCCAAGACCAATGCAGACGATGTTCTCCAGCGGAGTCGCGTGGGGATCCGGATCAGCGATTGAACTGGTCCCATCGAACCTTCTCCGGAGTGCATCCGCCATCACGCGCCATGTCTCCGATCCCTCCCATCTCTCGCGGTACCCATTGAACTGGGTTTGAAGGTCATCGAGGGTCAATTGCGACGGGGCTTCGGCTGGGATCAGCGACGGAGTTGACAATTGGCCTCCGTCGGCGCTGGGGTTTGGGCGCAGCGCCCGTCGCACGTTTTTGCTGGTGGTGACGTGCGTCCAGCCGTCCGCGTCGGTGACTTGCAGGCGTTTCTGCTGCTGGAGTTTGGAATCGGGTTTTCTGGGACGTCGTGTGTGCGGCATCTTTGCTATATATGTGGTGTCTGATTGTCTTTGGGGAGTATGCACTGTGATGTGATGCTCGCGCTGGGGGTGATTTTTGTTATCTTTATCGGGGTGGTTATCGGTGGTGGGGTGGAGCTTATCGTGTATCTTATCTTATCGCACCCTTTCAGTCTCATCTTGTGAAAATCTCATTGAGCTACCACCCACACTCAAAGAGTAAGAGAATGTGTCTAATTTAGTGAAATTATCATGTCAGCTTGGGATCTATGCACACAACTGAGAACAAAACACGATGGTCAACTACAAGCTTCGGATGAGCTGCCGGAGCGTGCTACCATCAGCCAGCACACATTTATTCCAAGTCCAATGTCAAAACATCGGGAAAATCAAGATGTCTCAGTCATACTAATCGCCAGTATTTTCGTGTCTTTCAGGAAGCAACATTACTCACTCGAATTGATGTGCATCCGTCACAGTGATCGCCCCCTTCTGCTGCACTCACGGAGGATCTCTAAGCGCCCAGCCCCATGACGGCTCCCCTCTTCTAGCGTTAAGATAGGGGCGCTTCTGCCCCCTCTGCTCCACGAATCATCGGCGCAGAATGGCTTCAACCATCCCTGTCAGGACGTGATGCCACTTGCAGCCCAGCGTCTTGAATGTCCCTTCGATCCAATCCGATGGCGAGATTGGTCGTCCCCTCACGGACGCAACAATGCCAAATCTCAACGGACCTCTCAAGCACAGAGAAATGAGGCAGACACTACCGCCAATTTTCAATCTTTCAACTGCGGGTGTGGTCACATCAAAGTCTCCTGCATTCTCACTCGTTCAATTTTAATCGCCTGCCTGCGGTAGTCAAGTCAGGATGTGAAATGCTGCTGCAGCACCTGGCCTCCGGGCTTTATTCGCTCTCTTTCAAAAAGACTTGAACGCCCTCCCTATTTGGTTCCTCTGGCTGCTGCTCGCGAAGCTTATTTTCCCTTTTCCTCTTTGATGATGATCATTCTCTGCGGTTCGGACGGTTGAACTGTTCGCCAACTGCTTGATTTGACTCGAACATTCCCGTAGAAGTTTCACATCCGAAAAGAAGACGGTTGTTCTCTTTTGTTTGCAGGACTACTTCTACTGTTGCAGTTGACTTCATTATCCCTTGCCTTCCGTGAAGGTCTCACAGACATCATGATGCTTCAATTTTCGATATCGCAATGGTCGGCGCTCATCGCACTGCTATGCGCTGGACTGGCCAACGCCCATACCGTCATCACATACCCAGGCTACAGAGGAAACAACCTCCACACCAACGGCACTGTCGAAGAGTCAAATGGTTTAGGACAAGCTTACTTTAATGGCTCGCTAATCTACCCCTACGGCATGGAGTGGATGTACCCTTGTATGAACTACCCGGCTGGCCTTCGAGTCTGTCCATGAACGTGTGCACAGCTAATGGATAATCGTATCATTTTTGCAGGCGGAGGCATGCCGACAAGCACTAACCGAACGAAATGGCCGGTCAAAGGCGGCGCCGTTGCCATCCAACCTGGCTGGTTCCAGGGTCATCAAACTGCCCTCATCTACATCAACCTGGGCCTGGGCACAATCCCTCCGAACATGAGCCATCCTATGGTCGCTCCCTTCCAGATCACAGGCCCGACCAACAACCCTTATCCTGGTACTATCTGTCTGCCACAGGTCCCACTGCCGGCAAACATTAGTGTGCAGCCAGGGGACCACGCCACTATTCAGGTTATCGAGGCTGCCAAGCACGGTGCAGCTTTGTACAATGTATGTTCCCTGCGCTTCACCGAGTAACTGAATCTGACCATGATGCAGTGCGTGGACATTGAATTCGCGGAGCCGTCGGAGGTAGAGGAAGTGACGCGTGACAACTGCTTCAACTCGAGCATCATCAGCTTTGGCGAGGTCTTCACAACGACGTCCCTCACATCGGCGGCGGCGCCCAAGCCGTCGCTGATGAGCATACTGCCTGTTTACATGGTAGCACTGTTCAGCTGGGCGATGATGTAGATACTAGTTTCACTTTGGCTGTTGTGGTTTGTCTTTGCATTACATACCCCGTTTGAGTATCCTATTTTATGAACTTTGCGAAACTTCCTTGACACCTCATACTTTCCTTGCGAGCCGCGCATTCTTACTCTACAGGCGTTGTAGGCTACGAACCCCATGACCGGAGCAGATACTTGCCGATCAAAAGTCATAATATAGCTTCAGATGCTAAATTGACGAAATATTATATACCACATGTCCAAATACGAATCTACAGGTCATTTCGTGTTCATTCGAGACTACGCACCAGGCGCAGAATCGCATTGGCAACCTCATCTGGACTCTCCTGAGGCGCCCAGTGCCCAACACCGTCAATCAACCTCAGGAACCTAAAATCGCTGCATACCTCCCCATTCACCATCTTCTCCAACGCCCCTGGTTCCTGGTAAATTCCCCAGTCCATCTTCCCCGACACAAAAGCACAAGGCACCTCGATTTTCTTCCCCGCGAATGTGTCGAAATCCCGTGTGAACCGACCATCCGCCGCCGTCCGCACTCGATACCAGTTCAACCCGCCCTGGAATCCCGTCCGTCCATACTCCGCCACATAAACATCCAGATCAGAATCCGGCAGCCAAGCCTGCGAAAGCTGCTGAGCGTTCTCCGGCTCGTTTTTCATGTCCAGCGCGATGGCTTCGGGCATGGTAGCCTCCAGCGGCATGATGTAGTAGAACGGTAGTTGGAGTAGTTCATCCGCTGTCCAGGATTTCAACGGGCGCGGGTAGTTGCGCGCGCACGAGCCGCTCTTAAGGTGAAAGTACCCGCGCAGGAACTCGTGGAGTGGGCCCGGGGGGAGGCTCATCTCGTCTCGTGCTGTCCCCGCAACGCGATGAGCTGACAATTGGGATGGATTGACAGAAAACACTTAGTCAGTATTTGCCTGAGGCTATAGAATCTGCCTGAGGCCGCAACTTCAGATTCTTTGTCACATGATTATCACATGACTTGATAATTCACTACTTGTGAAGTTGTGATCCGCTAGCCTGTAACCGCTTCTCCAGACACCCATATGTACTATAGGGCATGTGACAGATCACATGCCCTTAGTGCAGAGGCGGTGGAGTAGTACCATTTGTAGTGTTTGCGGTTGCGCTGAGCCAGCTCGGCGTGGATGCTGTTGCTGGCGGTGGATTCCATGCCGCCGCTGCTTCCTGGGGTTCCGTCGCCATGGTCATGGTTCTTGGCGGTGTTGAATGGCAGCGATGGCGTGCCGTTGAACGGATGGCTCAGCAGGAGCACGCTTTCGAAGAAATCTGGCCGAATCAATGCGCACATGGCGGCGGATACGGCGCCGCAGTCGTGGCCCACGACGCAGCGCACGGAGCGGTACCCCAGGGCGTGAACGAGAATCACCATGTCTCGTGCTAGCGAGGTGAGCGAGAAGGTGGACAGGTCTACCTCGTCGTAGCTGCGGGTGTCCCAACCTGTAGTGCGGCCGAATCCCCGCTGGTCGGGGGCGACGGCATAGTATCCTGCCTCTGCTAGACGGGGAAGGATCTCGCGCCACGAGAAGGCCAGTTCGGGGAAGCCATGGAGAAGCAGGATCAGAGGACGATTGCGATCGGGAGAGTAGCCGGCCTCGAGGATGTGGAAGTTGAGGGCGGAGGTGGAGACGAATCGACTGGAGACAGGAGGGGGAAGGGGGAGGGATGCCATTGTTATTTAGATATCACTTTGCTTTGGATGTTGATGGTGAGATGTATCTACCATGCAATAGTTAGCACGAGCTTTGTGCATTCGTATCGTATCGATCTATAGATGTCTTGCCTGACTCCAGTAGATCTACATTTCTCCACATTAACGCCGACTATATATGTTGGAGACTCCATAATGATCAGCCATATTGATTACCCGAAAATCAAGGCATAAAGGCAACAAGACAGGCACAGTTCAGTTGTTCATTGGTAGCCTTATTTTTCGAGGTACCGACTAGCTGGCGATGGGAGATGACACATGCAACCTCAGGCACCGACACACCCACACCCGCCTACATACATCATCGATGCCTTACAGAAGACATCAATCCTGCAGCAACTCTGCAGTACATAAGAAGACCCTAATTTATCGATCTTTGAGAAACTCTAGATCCTCATCAAGACAAGAAAAAGGGCTAAAAAAGAGCCGATCCACCAGACTGACCCAAGAAAAAAGAAAAATCGGCAATGCTCAATCGCTCATTGATCTGACTTAAAGGATCGGCCTCCAGTCCATGACGCAAAGTGTGCCCCTTCGATCCGCTCTCACACATTTTGCTCTCGATCGGCATTATCCCCCTTCTTGGGAGTTGGGACTGGCAACTCCCCTCTGTTCATCGTCATTCGGAACCGACTTCTTGATTTCTTTCATTCAAGTTTCGCATCAATTTCTCCCTTCCCTTCTTTCCACCCCCTGTTCCTCTAATTCGTCTCCCTCTCATACATTCTTTGAGGGAATCTTCCGGCCCTTTTTTTCCCGCATTCCCCCTCTCGTTGACAACGCAGCACATATTGCCAGGCAGTCCGAAGACTTTTCGAACGTGACGGAGTTTACGGCTAGAAGAGATACCAATAACTATCCGTCGCCTGCTCTGCGTGATCTGTATTAAGGTACAGTGATAGATAAGGCACGAAGAGGAACCCGTGTCTTTGTCGACGTCAGCTTCCATGTCCGCCGTTTGAGGGCAGACGCGACGATATCGAGTTTCTTTCGCTGGAGGACCCAACATGTTCCGCAGAAAGAGAAGCACATCTCGTCATCAGGTGAGCTTTGCAATTTAGGCGTATTTCGCAAATTAAAATTGGCTGAAACTGATTCTCATTGCTATCCCCTAGCCCCTCTCCACGGTAAACTCACAGTCCGCCCAGTCCGCTGCCACTCATGCCTTCCTTAAATCCCAGCCCTCCTCAAGCAGCCTGTCTTCTGCTGCGGCGGCGGCGGCTCTTCGGAGTCTCACACCTACTCCGACGCCGGTGGAAAATGTCCAGACAAAGAGAATGATTCAAAGACGGGCTTCTGTAACTTCGCAGACCAGCATGGCAGGTAGCCTCCGTCCAGCCAGCAGGACAGCCCTTCGTCGCAGCAATAGCTCGAGCTCCATGAGCAACAGAACGTTCCGAGAACAATCCCCGCGTCGACCTGCTACCAGTAACGGCCAAGTGGATGTCGTTCCACCCCTGCCGTCCATGCCTCCAGGATTTGCAGGCCGGACAAATCCTGCTCGACGCTCCGTCAGCCTGGAGCCAAGCGTGCGGTTCAATTCCTCACCCACACATAAGACGCTGGGTCGCGGTATGAGTGTCGACAGATCGCTGCGATCGCCGTCCAGCCAGTCGCCCATCCAATCCCAACCATTGTCTACCGTTCCCGAGCTCGAACGAACAAGCAGTCGGAACTCAATCAATTTCTCATATCCGATGACTGGTCGACCAGTCTCTCCGACTGTCTCTCGTCCATTTCCCACACAACGTGAGGCCTTGACTAACGTGCCGCTCAATCATGAGTTGTCACCCGCCGGGTCTCCGAATGCTCGGATAGCGAAAAATCAGGAAACGAAGAAGGCAGCTGGGCTCGTTACTGGGAGCCCCGGGAGAACCGCCCCTTCCGTTGGTACCGCTGTCGCAGCTGCACAGGCTGCTGTGGTACCCAAATCCGATGGAACGGGTCACTCACCTGTGGCCAATCGTTTCGTCAATCAGCGAGAAGCGGCCACTAATACTCATGCGCAGAGCCAGGCCTCGCGACAAGTATCCTCTCATGCGACGGGGCCAAAGCGGACGCCTACTGTACCTGAAGAAGACTGGAAGGGCGAAGAACGCGCGGGACCAGATGGAATCGGGAGCCGCGTCAATCATCCGCGCGCCGGGAGTGTTTCGCCTGTCGGCTTTGTGCCTAAGTCTTCGGAGCATTTGTATGCAGCGGAGCCTTCAATCATCAGAACGCCAGCCACGCCGGACGAAAAGGATGCACGCCCTACTTTCCCTGTCCATTCCAGGGAGTTGAATGAATCGGCAAGGCTAGAGAATGGGCTACAGCAATCCCCAATCCGTTATTCCAGCAGCAGCCCGGGTAGATCTGCACGATTTTCATCTCAACTCGCAGTGGCTGGAATTGCTGAGCATCAACCTCCTCCGAGATCAGTTTCACCGGTCAAATCCGTGCTGAAGAATGCGCGAAAAAGCTCATTGTCTCCTGATGGGAGAAAAGGAGGTGTTCTCCGTCCAGGTCCATCAATCAGTGAGCTATCCGACGCCACTTCTGTGGCTTCGGACGATGGCTCTAGACTGGGCTACCGTAGGAAGCCTGCCAAAGTAAGCTTTGACGATGATACTGAAATTGTTGGAGTTGCAGCGAGCCCGCCAACCTCCCCGGAGGAGCTAACCCCCGAGCCCCCTGAGAAATTCAGGGCCAGAACTGGATGGTTCGGGGTTGGTAAGCGGAAGAACTCTCAGCGGGATAGCGTGCATCCTGATGAGTTTGATGAGGTTTTGAAGCCCCGACCTGCTCTTCCTTCTTTTGGCAGTATAAGAGGACGCCGAGAGGACGAACCCGAGCCCGCCCAGCCGGACTTCAGTGACAATGAGTCTACCGCCTCGTCGGAGTTCGATGCAGTAGTCTCCGGCTGGTCTGTTTCAAATGACAATCCCCTTCAAGGCATCATGTCCACACCTTCCGTAACAAATCATCAATCTGGCACAGAAGTCGATCGCATCGCCGTCGCTGAGTCTTCTGAAGGTGCTAGCGACCAAACAAATAATGCACTTACACATGATGGTGACTTAGTTCATGAGCCGGTGTCTCAAGCTTCTCAGGCTCTGAAACCGTCAGTAGCGGATGCACACTTGATGCGAGAGCAGGAACCATTAATGACTCCAGATGTGGAGTTAGCGCTACAGGGCATGACGGCCCAAACAACCTCACCTGGTGCCGAAAAAGGGCGTTCAAGTCTTGAGATATACAGAGTCCCCGGTGGTTTCCCGCGAACCTCATTAGAACTTGACCCCAAAGCCGCTAGTAAAAGGAAGGGCAAGAGGAGATCACGCGGAAAATCTATCGATGAACATATGCCAAATGGCAAGGAGAGCGATGACGAGTCAGGGGAAAGTGTTTACAGCGACGCCGAGGAAGGCGTCGATGGTGATGGCTTTGGCTCAATCAATGCTATCGTGGATGCGCGGATAGCGCAAGGAAAAGACGGCCGCCCTGTTGATTCTCTCCTCGGCAACACATTCTCCAAAGACGACACGCGTGAATTCGGAGCTAAGTCCACCAATGGAACGGTGAGAAGGCTCGAAGAGTCAAGTCAGGCCGATTGCGCAGCAACTCCCGCGCAAGCGCAACCTGCCGACTCTCCCACCTCCCCAAGAGTATTGCCTACACGGTCTACAGTTCAGACGCAGACGACCGCCAAAGACATACTTTCGTCCGCACGCACGAGCCAAGCAAAGCGACCTATGTCAACCATAGTATACAGTGATTCAGGGCTTCGTGACGCTGTTGCAAAGGATGGCTCATTACGCGACCTATCGGGCAACGGCACCTCTGCTTTACGTCGAGCCGATTCTGAGCGGGCCAAAAAGAGGCCTGTGTCATTCGGGCCGGTCATCCAAAAGGAAATCGATCCAGCGCCTTCTAGCGAGAGACTTATCGACGGCAGAACACCCTACATGCCTCAAAGGAGAATGTCCACTGGAAGCGACTCATCCAGCAGTTTCATGAGGTCCACGCGCCGTGCCAGAAAGGGTGGACAGCATACCATGCGTCGCACCCTGCGGGGAGGTCCTCCGATCCGCGCCATGCCACCGTCCCCCGGCCGGGCATCATCACCTTCCATAGAAAGTCGGCCTCTTTCTTCGGGGTCGGTCGCAGGTACCATGCGCACTACATTGCGGAGCAGTGGGCCCAAGAACGACAAGTCTTCGAGCTTCTTCTCTAGCAGGTCTTCGAAACCGAAGGCTACCAAGATAGCCACGCCTCGTTTCGTATCACGATTCCCAGATTCCGATGACGAAGATGCTGATTTCCGGCAGCGGAAACTTCAACGTCGATACGATGACTCCAGTGACGATGAGCAAGGCCGCGTGATGCACACCCTTCGCCCAGTTCGCGGCATTCCTCGACGGCAGGGAACAAATGACGGCGATTCAACGGAACTGGAAGATAGCTCTGAGAACGAGAGGCCAACCACCCCTGCACCAGCAGCTGTCTCCAAGAAACCTAATCTCCCTTCGCACGACCCAGGACTTGCTGCAGTGGCCAAGTCGCGTGGAATGACAGAGGAGGAGCTGGATGAGTTCCTCCACCGGCCGGCGAAGGGGCGAGTTTCTGGAATTCTGGGCCGATTCACTTTGAAGAAATCCAGGCCACCCATGGAACACAAGGCCTCCAAGTCCAACGAGGACCTTGTTCACATGCGGGAGGAGAATTTGCTGAATCCTGGTCGGGCAACAACGGTCACAACTGTTACTGCCAATCACTCCGGGGCTTCCCCTTCGAAGCTCACCAAGGGAGGCTTGAAGAAAGCGAACGGGAACGGCTGGCCAATGGACTCCGGGCGCAAAGGGTCAGAAGCCGCAGCGGATGCTGGAACTGTGGCGGAACAGCACCCAATAGCGGCGGGTGCATCTGGAGACGGAAGTGCATCTATTGTCCACCATAGTGAGCCCACCGCAAGGGACAGC